ATAAGGACCTCTGATGGTCTAGTGAATACAGAATTGTACAGTCCACCCAAAGACAGGCAATTCAAAAGCACCAGCTGCTCTGTGGGAGAAAGATGGGTAATTTCCTCCCATGAGATTTAGAACTTCTGAAACCCACTGGAGGGTCATGGGTGAGTCAATTCTGAGATTATAAATAATAGGCTCCCGTTCTATTAAACATCTATGTTGGTATTAAGAAGATTAAAAAGAAAAAGCTTAGATTTAGCTAATATATTTGGACTTAGTTTTATAAATGCTAAATTGATGAACACTTTGCTCAAGCATAGCTTGCTCAAGGCAGATGCTGAGAGTTCTTGCTCAGGCAACTGTCCTTCATGAAGGAATGAAATGATTTAGCTGTGTCCCAAACCGTACGTTCTAAACTGTGGTCACTACTATTCTTGTAACTTACATGAGCTAACCAGGAGCAAGGAGGCAAAGCTAGCTTCTGAAGATGTGCTGGGGGAGATAGCCCTCACTTTCTACCTTTCCTCTCAGGCCCTGCAGACAAGCTTGAGGGTTGCTACCCCAGATTGCTTACTTTGCTCCTCTGCTTTTCATTCAGGTAGCCAGCATGCTCCGGGTTGTGTTCATAAAGCTGTATGAGGATGTTCTTGAGCCAATCTCTCATCCGCAGAGGAAACTGAGTCACTTCAAAGTCTGTACAAGCAGGGATAGCTGTTCCAAGTAGAAAATAAATATGCTATAATCATTGGTCTTACCTCTGTCTTGTGCTTATATGTTATGTGTCATAACAGGGTAGCTTAACAGCTTCTGGTGTTTTGCAAAGCATGCCTATTGTCACCAAAACCTATAATAGTGCATCCCAAAGCTGGCTGTATCACAGAATGACCTGGGAGTAGTAGTTTCAAAAAAAACATAGCAAATATGCTAGCTTGCCTTCCAAAAAATTTTTATTTGGTTGATCTTGGAGGAATTCAGGCTTCAGGATATGTTAAAAACTCCAAATATGATTTTTATTTGCAATCAGGGTCTAGACTGGAGCTATACTGCTTTAGAGGCAGAGAGTTGGTTTATAGAGGGCATAATTCATGGAGGAAAAAGGGGAAAGTGGAGATTAGCTTTTACTGTGGTAAGAAATAATACCAAACTTCTGAGATTTAAAGAAACACAAATTTATTCCTTGGTTATATTTCAAGTTCCTTAGTTCAAAGGCTTTGCTTACTCTAAGTTACCCTGAGACTCATGACGATGGCGACTTGCCCCATATTTTGAGGCTACTGTCTTAAACCAAAGCTTCTGAGTTTATAGTGCTGAGGGAAGAGAGCATGGAGAATCATGCACCAGCCCTTAAATGTTTCTGCCCGGAACTCACATCAATGATTTTTGCCCACTTTTCATCTGAGAGCTCAAGTCATTTAGCCATACCTAATTTACAAGGACCTGGGAAACCTAATTCAGTTATGAGTCTGGAAGGAGGGAAGAACTGGAAATATTAGTGCATACTGCTAAAGTGGAGAATCACTTAGTGGTGAGGGGATCCAAACGCAATTGACAGTATCTTGGGAAAGGAAGTTAATGAAAAAAATTCAGAAATTAAAAGTTGTCATAACATTTCTTGGCAGAGGCTCAACGTAAATTGGAAGGAGGCAAATAATCCAGCAAAATTCCTATGATTCATCTCAATTATTTAGTGGACATTATATTCTGTGATAGTGGTTCTGAACACTGCCTGCACATTAAAATCGTCTAGGTTACTTTAAAAGCAAACATAAAAACACTGCCTGAATCCTAATCCGGTTCAATTAAATAAAAATATCTTAGTTTTGAGACCATAGGAATTATCTCTTACTTTTCAAAGTCTCCCTCCTTAATTTTAATGTATAATTGAGTTCAGAACTACCTTAGCATTTTTGTTGTTGTTGTTTGGCTACTATTTGAGCATGCCCAAATTCATTCCAAATGCTCTCAGCAGTGGTGTTGACACTAGAGATAAAATCTTACATTTGCAGGCTCCAAAATAATCCAGTTGCAGTTGATGTCCCTTCTTGGTCCCTTCTAGTTTGCATTTAGTAGCAAAGAGATGGCAGGAGCTCGCATAGGTCTGATTGTCAGTGCCGCAAACCTACGAAACACAAAGGAGAAAAACTGAGAAAGCAGAATTCTCTTAAAGCTCATATCCTGTCTAATTAATTGCACTATGTCCAAGATATAGTCAGATTGACGATGTTATTAAAAATCTTAATTCTAGACATTTAGCTAGTATTGTTATTTCATTTAAATGAGATCAGACAATGCTTATCCTTTGATGATTGATTTCAAGGTTCAGCTATGCTGTAACATATATCAGGATTCCCATTCTTTTCAATGTTTTCTATAATTACTCTGATCAATACAATCAAATGTTTTTGTATGGTCAATAAATACAGTAAACATCTTCCTAGTATTTTCTCCCTTCAGCAAAGATCCATCTGACATCAGCAATAATACCCTTTATTCCACCATCTCTGCTGAAGCCAGTTTAAATTTCTTCCAGCAGTTCACTCTTGTATAGTTTTAGCTGTTTTTGAATAATTCTCAGCAAGATTTTACTTGTATGTGACATTGATAATATTACTAGACTACTTCCGCACTCTGTTGGAGCAACATTTTTTTGAACTAGGAAGAAACATGAACCTCTGTCAGCTCGATGGCCAAATATCTTGGCAAAGACTAGTGAGTACATCCAGGCCTACATCTGTTTACTGAAACACTTTAATTGGTAGTCCAGCAATTCCTGCAGCCTTATTTCTTGGAAGTGTCTTCAGTGCAACTTGGGCTTCTTCCTTCAGTACCATGGGTTCTTGATTATATATTTCTTCCTGGAATGGTTCAATGTCTACCATTCTTTTTAGTACAACTACTTTTTATATTATTTCTTTTATATTAAAATAAATTATAATATTATAAATACTATATTTTCTTTTGATGTTCCTACATCATTCAATCCTTCAGTGTTGCAACTGTAGGTTATTTTTTTTCTTTTTCTGAAGTTCTTTTAACTTGAGATATGCTGCATTCCTTTCTTTTGTTTTCTAACTCCATGTTTTTTTTTAAATAATTAGCTTTGTCTTCTTGAGCTATCCTTTCAAGTTTTCTGCTCGGCTCTTCCTTTGGCATTTCTTTCCATTGTTTGGTATTCTTTATGTTCTTTCAGAGGCTCTGTCTGCATCTATTTTGGTCTTTATTTCTTTCCTTCTTTCTTTCTTTCCTTTGTAATACTTCTGCCTTTTTCATAGATTATGTATGGTCTTGATTACATTCCACAACTTCTCTGGTCTTCAGTCATTTGTGTTCCATGTGTCAATTCTATTTTGGGGATGATTTAGGACAGACTCAAGATTGTATTTTGGTTCTCATGGACTTGTTTCAGTTTTCTTCAGTTTTAAGTTTAACTTGTCTATGAGTTATTGATAGTCTTTACCACAGTCAACCTTTTGCCGTATTTTGTCTGCTGATATTAAGCTTCTCCATTGACTTTTCCCATTGTTTTAGACAATCTGATGGTTATGTGCCATCAAGTGTAGCCCATGTCTATAACTGCTATTTATAAGGGTTTAAAAAAAAATGTATTTTCAGGACACAAATCGTTATGCAAAATTCCATCATGCGGTATATAACCTCATTTCTCTTAGGAAGGGCTATATTTTCTAATTACAAACCTTTCTTTATTTTCAATTTGTTCATTCCAGCAACCAATTACTACAAGTGCATATTGATTACTTCCTTGATTGATTTCAGACTGCAAGAATTGGTAGGAATCTTCAATTTCTTAATTTTTTCCTCTTGTGGCTGCTGCCTATATTTGGATAATAATAACCAGTCTGCCTTACATGTGTCTTTATAGCATACTATCACTCACAGCATTGTTCTTCAGGTTATATCTTGAAATGTTCTTTTAAATGATGAATGTGACAGCATTCCTCTTCAATTTGTCATTGCCAGCATACTAGACCATATGATTATCTGAGTAAAAATGGCTAATACCAGTACATCTCATCTCACTAAATGCCCAAAGTGCCCACCTTAGTGTATTTTATTTCATTTTTCTTACAACTTTCAATTTTCTTTGACTGATACTTCATACATTTCAGGTTACAATTATTAATGGACATTTGCAGCTGTTACTTCTCATTCCAACCCTTTCTCCTTCAGCAAATAAAGATACTTCATTGATTCAAAGCTTTACTTTAGCTTCATCATTAAGGCAGATTCTGTTTTCAGGAGGCAATTCTTCCCCAGTCACCTTTTAAGTGCCTTCCAATATGAGAGACTCATCTTTTGTCACTATTCCAACAATGCTCTTCTGTTATTCCTAGGGTTTTCAAAACTTCTTATTTCAGAAGTAGGCTGTCAGTTCTGCTTCTTAGTCAGTTATAATCTGGAAGTTTTGCTGAAACCTGTCTACCATGAGTGACCTTGTTCGTGTCGGAAAAACAGTTGGCATAGTATTTGGCATCATATTAACCTACAAGCCACTACATTTAGCAAACTGCCAGAGTTGGGGATAAATGTGACCTTCTAACCGAAACCTAAGAAACTGCATGATGGAATTTTGCACAACCACTGACTTATTTAGTGCGGGTAACTTTTTGTTTTTTAAACAAAAAATAAGCAATGATTATACACATGGATCTCTTCAGATAACATACATACGAATCAGATTGATTACATCTATGGAAAGAGACAGTGGAAAAACTCAATATAATCAGTAAGAACAAGTACATTTCCCAACTGCAGAACAGATCACTCGTTGTTAATATGCAAATTCAAACAAAAAATGAAACAAGCTTGTCAGATTCAAAATACAATCTTGAGTATTGTTGCTGTTTTATTATGCAACAGCATTTAGTCAAGTATAAAGCCTATCTACACACCAATTCTACAGGATGCATCACCTTTGACCAGGAAATATTGCGACTAAACTTCAGAGACACTGATCCCAACATAAGGAACTACCACCAGCTGATGTGTTTGAAATCACAGAAGCCATG